GATTCAGTTGAAGAATCGATGTTTTTTTTTAGTTGTACTGACCACACTACCCCTTTGTGTGCCTTGCCATACCTCAATAGGTGTTCACTAACTGCATTATTACCCCCCCCCACATCTACATCAGCTATGGGGTCTTTGTCTTGTTACAGTACGTTCATGTGGTTAAACTGTGGCAAGAGCAATGCCCAGTGTCACGACTCTGCGCCTGGCCAATCACCAAATGTCAGTGAAGTTAAAACACACCGAAAGCAGGTTCCGCATTGAGATTGGGGGGGGGGGGAGAGAAATAAAGGTACGGGAGGATCTGATAAGCGTCCTACCTGCATTGAAATCAACGTGTATGCATTGTGGTTGTGGTTTGGTCCTTGTGCTGTGTGCAAATGCTGTAATTTTTTTCCGAACGGACGCTTCTTTTTTTTTAAGGATTCCTGCGCCGTGTGTGCATGCCTATGTGTGTACGTCATGTATAGCAACATACAGTGGATAAAAGTTGTAGATATGACTGAACAATATTCTCTCTCTTTACACGTGGGCACAAATTATAAATTGTGGCGTTCCTCCAAAGCATTTTTGCACAGCGCACTTTTATTTACTGCAATGAATGAAATGTCAGGCACAACTTGCCATGTTATAGAACAGAACAGTTGATTGAGAATTGCCCTGTGAGCTAAGAAGCTCTTGAATCGGGTTTCATCAACAAAACACTTAAAATTAAAAACACGTTTGCAACAGGTCGCATAAAAATTATAAATACAATAAATACAGCAATGAAAAGTCAACAAATGATTATTTTTTTACAATATATTACTTAATTATAAATTAAATATTTAACTAAAATGAACATTAAGATTAGAGAAACATATTACAAAATAGTGCATCTAGAGTGAGGAATAAGATTCGATAAAATATTGCAAAACAAGGAATAGAAACGCCTTTGGTAAAATAATTTTCCTGTGCAAACAACAAATGTTATTTTAACACTTAGGCTTTCGTGACCAATATTATTCATAATAATAGTTTTTGGGTTAGATCGCATTATTTATAAATGTGTCGTAATCCTCCACCACCCGACACGGCCAAACAGTAAAAAAAATGTGTCACGTTCACAAAAGACAAATAGTTCACTACTTTAGCCCACCGGTGTGTTGAAGAGTGAATCAACATCATTTACAATTTTGAGTACGACGTTTCGCTGGTAATTACATCCAGCATCATCGGGCAACTCGCCAGAATGGTGAAGCCCTCCACCTGCTCCCGGTCTTAAATAGAGCAGCACGGTGACGTCATCATATAACCCAATCTGGTGCAGTGATTTGAGGCGGAGAGGGGGAGGGTATTGTAATTAATTGACCCCTAAAATGTCTTTCGCGTGCATATTCATTTATGTTTTAAATAAAGCTTATTTAAAAAAATATATGAAGTTTCAGAGAATTAAAAGGGGGTCACAAGACATCTGGACCACCCTGCATTACCCACGCAGCTGCAGGAGGTCTCGGAGATGCCCTCTCGAGGGTGATTTTGGCCTGCTTTTCCACGCTGACCAAACATCATAGAAGATGTGGCAATACCCACGCTTGACTCCATCACATGCGACCTGGCGATAGACAAATTGTAGTGTACCAATATATGTGTCTGCATAAATAGAGGCGGGAGATGAACCCCAGTGACCTATGACCATTACACTGCGGCAGCATCTATAAGGCCTCGATAAAAAAAAAAAATATATAACACTTTTATCGACATTGATATATTATTATTGAACAATAAATAATATTTAACGTCAGAAATAAACATCTCATACTGGACCCTACCATTGAACCTCCCCGGTTTGAACCTTCCACGTTTTCCAGTGGTCGACCATCAACCGAATCGGGACCGGGCCACGTGGCCGATGGGGCCACCTGATGCCACAAGTGGCGCCAATAAAAAGATTCGGCGGCCTGCGAGTGCGGCCACGAATCCCAAAACATCGACCCACATCGTAAAAACTCCGTCGCTGTTTTCACTCCCTTAAAGGAGGAATGGACGAGATCCACTCTGCGTCTGAAAAGACAATTGATTGGATGACAAATCTAAAATCACATCTTTATTCTGCTGCTATTAATCCATACGAAAGAAGGATAAGTATTATTTAAACAAATATCAGCGCCTTGCTGAAGCTTAATGTTTTAAGGTGTGTGCTCGTTGAGTCACCAGATTGTGTCATCGTCATTGTGCAGTTTGACCGGTTCTCTGGGGCGGCTCACGTGACAGATGGGTCTGTCGAAACAGTAATTGTTACTTTTATACCCAAGGGCCCAAGGCTGATGTTGTAACGCAGCACGTGCCAGAAGTACGTGTCCATGTTAGAAGTTCAACATACGGCCATACATACGTATTATACACTTTTAAATCTAGATTGAAAACTAAAATTATTTTTAAAGCTTTTTGTGTGTAGCTTGTTGTCCTGAGACAAATTGTTGTGTACCCGATTAGCACGGTGGGCGACATACGGTGCGAAATAAGTTCAACATACATAATACATTCTGATGGCAGTCTTGTTCATATCCTGATTAAATCTGCTGCTAATAGAGGACCTCCCTATGCCTTGCGGACTGTGAGAGCTATATGACGATACTTCAACACGCTGGTCAGTATGCGTTGATGAAGGTGGGCGAAGTTCAGAAAAATGTTTTTTTGCTGCACTGCCCACACTGTCGATTGCAGCCTTTTTTATAGATGGTGGTCGCCCATCCAAGCACTATCCAAGCTCAATCAACTGCTTAGCTTCTGAAATCTGATTAAATGAGGCATATTCCAGATTGAACTTTGTTTGCACCGCACGCAGCCACCCGTGCCATTCGGAGATGCGGAAGAAGGAAAACAAACTAAACACAAAAAAATCTGTTCTAAATAAATGAGTTTTCTATCTAGATGATTTTAAAGTGCGTAGCTCCCAGTCGCTTCCTAATATCGGAAGGGCGTTCCAGATATAAAAAAACAGGGGCGGAGCCAGGGGGGTGACAGGGTAGACAATTGTCACCACCGAAAAAAAATAAAAAATCGAAAATCTGAAACATTCTGCGTATAAGTGTACGACACTCGGTCTGGCGGACTCCGTGTCGCCAACCGATGGCGTCTAGTTCAACAGCCTGACTCTCTAATCATTCTTGAATTTAAAATTTGTTGAATGTCACCCCGGGCTGAAAATCCTGGCCCCGCCCCTGAAAGAAACAAATGCCTGATATTAAAACAAAAATGCAAGGGAATTGACGTGTCAGCCAAGTGGTTTTCTTAAGAAAGCTCGGATGTGAACCGTACCTTTAGTATACTGGAGAGATTTCGTGTTGTGCTTCACACAACACTACTTATTAGGTAATGTAACATTACTCTTTTAAATATAGTTTGTAAAAAAATACCATCAAGGTTGTTGTCTCTATTTGGACTGTTGTTCATCGTTTAGCCCAAACGTAACGTGAGCACATCACCTGCATACAATTTGCATGAACACATTAAAGAAAGACATTTTCACAGACACAATGTGATGCGTGCATCGCGAGAATAAGAATCCATTTGTAATCGATGGATCAATGAAATGCATCGCTACATTGTGTTGATGTTGGTATCCTTCTGAGGGTCATTTGTATTTGCTAATAGTTTAAGGACTACAATTTGCCAGTCCTTGTTTCATAATGTATACTCCAAGCAAAAGTAAGGATCCCTCATATTCTTGGTTCTTTCGGTAAAGTCACGTAGAAGGGAAACAATAAAATAATAATAAAATACGTGACTTTACCGAAAGAACCAAGAATATGAATCCCTGCAGTCACGAAAGCTTTAAATCAAAAAGTAAAGATCCCTCGTGTAGCCTTAACAGACTGTTGGGGCAAGTACTGCTAGCGAGCACCTTTGCAGGCTAGCACAGCACACGAGGGGGTTGGGTGGCTAACACCACGCCCGGCCGCCTTTGTCTTCCGAGTGGCAATGTTTACACACCGCACCAGGCACTCATTTGAGGCTGAGTCGACCTAGGGAAGGGCCCACGACCGGTTCAACCCGGGGCGCCAGGTTCATAATGCAGCGCACTAACCGCTACACTACCTCTTCTCACCGTAAACACACACACACACCAGTCTGTCCATATTTATTTTTTAAAAACCCATCGCAAAGTAAGTTGAATGGCCATACAGTAGCAACCCTTGACATTTTCCATCCTCGTACAGTCAACGATTACTACCAAACCTGTTGGGCAGGCTGTCTGGTGCAATTGTACCCAGGGCTGTGGATGCACGCGATTGAGTGGGCCAGGCGGCGGATGTAGATTTCAGCGGGCAGGGCAGGCCGGAGGGGCCCAGCGCTGGACTACAAAGAGAGAGGGGCGATGGTTGGGGCGGGTGACGAAATTGGACAGGGGGCCTCATTGAATTCCTTACACGAGGGCCCCTTGATGCACGTATGTACCTTGAACTTCCTTTCGCACCGTACGTAGCCATCCGTGCTAATCGGAGGTGCGGGGGGGAGGGACAGCAAACTAAACACAAAAACGAAGTTCTGAAGTAGTATGTAGTTTTGCATCTAGGTGATCTAAAAGTGCATAGTTCCAGTGGCTTCCTAATATCGGAAAGAAGAGCGTTCCAGACAGCCGTAAAAGCTCATCTGGAAAGTGCGCGAAGCAGTGACCGTCTTTGTTCGATGGTTAGCCCAAAGCCGCTGTTGCGAGGATGACCAGAGTTTGTGCGGTGGTTTATGCTAGTGTTCTTCATTGCAAGGCCCGCGGGCTACTGGCGGCCTCCGTGGTGGCCTTTCGTGTGGCCCACTGACATGCGGTCCCCCGACAATACGCACACGTGAAAAAAAATCCCTTGCAGGCGGTGTGGCGGCACTCACACTGATGATGGCTTATCGGTGAAAGTGCCCCCCCTCCTCCCCCACCCCCCGAAAATTAGCGAAGAACGCTGGCTCCCACTATTCGACGAGACCAGCTAGGTGCCAACGACGCGCCGTGCTTTCTGCGCGCCCAGGCTACGGAGAATGGTGGAGTCGCAGGCGCTGGAAATCGAGCGGCTCAGGCGGCGACTTGGCCACGTGGGCCCTGCCGAGCTCTCGCCCGGAGGCTCCTGTGGGTCGTCGGCCAAGCACCGCTGCACAGCGAGCATTGTGGGACAGCAGCAGCAGCATCATCATCATCATCGCAACGGCCTTCCGCCTGGCACAGCAGCTGTACCCAAACAGGTGAACTTGCAGCCGCAGCACGGCGACACAGAACACATTGCTTAGGACTTTAGTTCATTTCACGTCGCCGTTAGAAAGTTAATTTCACCAATGTCCTTCAAAGTGCCTCCCCCCCCCGCTCCCCCACGCGTATCGTGGTCTTTTTTAAATCAATTCGTGGAAGTTGTTCTCGGAGATGAATTTTTCATGCATAACAAAAAAATTGCAATGCACCCGTCCTAATGTTTGGAAAAATATTGCAAAGGTATTTGCGATGTGTAGCATAAACCTCGATTTAGCAAGAGGCTTGGCAAGAAGTGTGGAAAAAAAGAAATATGTAATCGTGGGGGGGGGGGGGGGTGGGGATATCTCATAAACAAGGAAATGTTTAATCTGATTTTAAAATTAGGATGCAGAATACATTTTTGTCATCTGTGTAGTTGGTTAACCGCATGTATTCACATATCCTACATGTTTATCCCTCAAACGTCTAAGGCTGGCCAACAAATATTCGTTGCCCTTTAACCTTCCGGTCACAGCAAGGACACATCAGTATTCAAACATGAACGTACACGCAAAAGAGGCTTCCTCAAGCACAAACGCATCCTTCACACACCCACACTGATATGTATACTGCATTGCTTTTTGAAACGTGAATCAACTGTACCTCTGGCATACGCCTTTTGGCGTTCTCTGGTTTAACACCGTTTGAGCCGAGGCTCAAAAGAAAGCTGTCTCTGGTGTGGACCAATCAGTTTCAAGGACAATGCACGTATTATCAGAGTATGTTTTTTGTTTGCATTCTGACCACAAGTATTGTGGTTAATGCAGACATGATTCCTTGTAAAAGGTTTCAGTTTGGTGTTTTGTTGCCAGCAAAAAGGGGAAAAAACCTATTATCAACTGCACCACGCATGAAAGAAATAAATGTTGAACCCCCCCCCCTCCTCCCCCACAAATTACACTGGAATGCAAGCTCATCTCCGTGTCTGTGACGGGAAGGGAGTTGCAGACCTCGGCCAAGTCATTATGAACCATCAGTTCCGAGTGGCAGAGATAGGGGATGGGGGGTGGAAAAAAACACACACACAAAGCGGGAGAAGATGAAGTTTCAGGTTTTTATGTTGAACAGGCAGCTTGTTGTGTGCCGTGGGTGCACAACGTTTCTGCACCGTTTACGAAGAGGAAAACCACAGCCAGTAAAGGGGAATCGGAGAGAAGAGCCGTAGCAGATAACGGCACGTGCACTCTGCTCCGTACCACGCTCGCCGCTTTTCCGTAGGTGTTGTTTAAATCCGGTGGGGGGTGGTTTGCATTATCGGTTACCGAATAAAATAAAATAAAGTTTAACAAAAACGGTTACCCACAGCTATATAGAAATCTTTTGACTTAAAAACCAAGGTGAAATGCTGCAGTGGTGAAACGCTACTGGGGCGGCAGTCCACCTAGCACAGGGGTCGACAGACCAAAAATAACAACTAGAGCCGCAATGCACTGTGTGGTGAATGCGAGCCGGTGGTGATCCTTGATAAATAACGTCAAGAAGCAGTCCTCGAAGAGCAGCATGCGGCTCCGGAGCCACAGTCGGATGGAAAGTCACGTGTCGTGGAGTAAAGTGAGGGTAGGCCTAATTCTTGTAAGGGGTCTGACCGGCGTGGGAAGAAGGGGCCAAATACAGCACAGTCTGTTCTATCACGCGGCAGTTCCGTTCTTAAAGAACATCGCGTTATGAAAAAAATCGCGTTATAACAAATAACATAGGGTAAAGTGCGGTCCGCGATAACACGCAAAATGCATACGCAGGCTGAACAATGACTTGAGGCGTGTGGTTGGTAGCGTCAAGAAGCATCCAGCAGCATCCCGCCTTGTGTGACGCTACACCGAGGCAGCCGCACGGCCGCTTATTCCCTACTCGCGCGACGTAGTTCCGTTCACTCAATCGTGTTATATCCAATTCGAATCCGCGTTGTAATTATGTGTTCCGTAATACATTAATCGTGTTATATCCAATTCGCGTTATCAAAACACGTGATTTGAAGCTTTCATGACTGCAGGAATCCATACTCTTTGATTCTTTCGGCAAAGTCACGTAGGTAGAAAAATAATAGATCACGACGTTTCAATCGCAACACAAGCAATCGTCATCAGGTGGGACAACCACAGCAAGAAAAAAACTGCTGAAGTAGGCGGGAGAGATCTGCTGTGGCACGAGGTTATATAGGCCTCGCAGTAGGGTGGGGGGGGGATGGAGGCGGGGCAGAAAGTGGACCCCGCGGCAGCACCTGGGTCACTGGAGAGAGACCGGAGAGAGATGCACAGAGAGAAAGAGAGAAAGAGACACACAGAGTCGGAAATAACAGCTGACATAGGCAGGTAGGATGGAAACAGTCAGTGAAGACTTTACCTGGTTAATAACGTCCTTCCAATGATTGCTCAGTTTGTACCAATCTTCTCGGTTGAGGTTGTGTCTGTGTTTATATATCCGGATGGCTTCATAAACAAATCTCTGATTCTAGATTTGAAGCTTTCGTGACTGCAAGGATTCATACTCTTTGGTTTTAATCAGTAAAGTCACGTAGATAATTGTTTTCTTTTATTTTGTTTTTTTTATTTTATCTACGTGACTTTACCGAATAGAACCAAAGAGTACACATCTCTGATAATAGCCGGTGGGTTTGCAGAGTACCTTCGTCTTGGAAAAGTAAATTTCGTGTGAGCCCACTGTGTTGAAACAATGATCAGCAACGGCAGAGGTATTGGTCCTACCGTGTTTAAGATCTGCTTTGTGTTCGCGAACGCGGTCCGAGACATGTCGTTTCGTTTCCCCAATGTAACTGCTGCAGCAGCCACAACTCAATTTGTAGACACCCGGGTATTGCATATAAGGAATCACATCCTTTACAGATGGGATCAAATCACGGAGTTTGTGTACTGTGTTGAAACGAACCTGGATCTTGTGTTTGTTTAAGATTTTGTAAATCGTTTTGGTAACCCCTGCTATGTATGGCAAAGTGATGGTATTGGTTGGATCCCCAGATGGCTGTCTCCCCATGGCTGGGGAGACAGCTTTGCGGATTGTACGGTCAGAATATCCGTTCATCCTGAGGGCTTGGTGTATGTGCTCCAGCTAGATTGGCCATGTACGGTGCGAAAGAAGTTGAACATACATACATACATACTAGATTTTCAGATTTCTAGATTTTAGAGGAAATGCTGATGGGAAAGCATCTATTAATGCCAGTGTGGAATAGTATTTTGACCCCGATTAACTTCTGACCCTGGGGTCAGAATATGGTACATTATTTGTAACACTCCTCCCCCCATGGTAGCGTAATCCCCCAGCCAGTTTCGGCCATTCTTCTGGGAGTTAGCCGTAACTCTAACGCACAGGAGGAGTCATCGCTATCATAGAATATATATATATCCTGGGGTTCAAACGCGATGAGGTCAAAATAGTATCTCACCCCAGCACAGCACCGGTGGCAGTAACGCCATGACTACGTGTGTGTGATCTAGTGACCCACTCTTCACAAGCTACACAATGCATTTATTTAAGGCTGAGCCACCCTAGGAGGGCTCCGGGCTAGTTTCAGAAAGTGATCACCACTGATAATGTGCACAGGCAGGATTCAAGCTTGGGTTATGAGGGGGGGGGGGGCGCTGGTAGCACAGCACGTGATCAACCACAACGATGCCCTTCGTGTCGGCTATGCACACCTTTGCACAGGTATGAAAAATAATAAACAAACAGTAAGTCATGCTTTCGGTAAAAAAATATATATATACTGCACTCATTTTGTCTGCCTCATTTTTTGCAGTGCCCACATTGTGCTCTACAGAGCGACATAGACTGGGAGGACGAAAATGGCACCGAATGTGACATCAATGGAACAAACCCCAATTCATGCTTCCTTCCTCCCATGCCCGGTGTAACTGAGAATGTGCTGCATTGTGCGGTAAGGGTCCCTTCACTTAGCCTAGCCAGCAGGGGATGAGAACACTTTGTCTCGCGCTCACGCCAGCCCTGCCTCTATTGTGGAAGCGCCTTCAATGCAAGTGGGCTAACTGGGGGTCACGTGTTACACCAGATGCCGACACCTCAGCGGCGTGTGTGTTAATCTGGCTCAGCAAGCACAGCGCCACTGGAATGCCTCGTAAGTTATTTCAAGAGCTCTCGTTTGTAAAATGACTTTTAATATTCAGCCACCAAATATGAACAATCGCTTTAAATTATTACAGTAATCCCAAGTGCTCAATTGTAAATGTTGTGGGTTTGCTCTCTTAATACACCGGTGTGCTGAAGTAATAACAGATTGGCACGTTTTATTTGCATGACAAACCTTACTAATTGGCTGTGTTGGATGGAGGTAGGTGAACGACACATTTATACTATGTAATCCAAATTATAATAATGTACAACCCTGTGACAATCCACTGCTTTTGTCAATCATGGAGGTTCTCTGACTAAACTTCACAATGGTGGTCGGTGCAGATGGTCCAGGACCGGTTTACATATTACGCGCGGCTGATGTGGGGGATTTGGGCAGAACCACTGCCGGTCACAATTTGTATCTACGGTGCTTGTTTTATCGTACCATACCAGATACTCATTCTGAGTCGACCTTGGGGAGAAACACACTAGGTTTTCGTTACCACTTGCCATGGATATTAGCCATCGCCAGGAATCGGAACTACTGCACCACCACATCCTTACACTCGCATCCACAAACACCCACATGTACACACTCAACCCTTTTGTCAATCCACTGCTGGATAAGGGTCTCCCAACGCCCTGCAGTTATTTTACCGTCCTCCACCATACTTCACAAACCTGCACTGATGCCCCGCAGTGAAGGTTGGTGAAGTATTAATGTGTCTGGGGGGGGGGACATGGTTCAGTACAACAATGGAGTTTGATGCGCTGCCTTTGCACTGTCCACAACTGCCTTCTGCCGTTTCGCCGGGCAGCGCCTGAGCGAGGCCCTCTCAGCCGGGGAGACGCACAGGGCCCATGTGCACTCAGCTGCCGAACAGGTGGCGGCCCACCTGGGCTCCCGGGCCCTCCGCAGGAGGTCTCGCGACTCAGCGACGGGTCGCCAAGTGGAGGAATCGAGCAGCGGGTCGGCTTGCTCCAGCACCTGCGCTTTCAGCGTCGACGCGGACAGAAGAGGTTTATACATGGCTCTCAATGGGGTTTAATATATATTTTTTTACCATTTTAACGTATCGGTGGTACACCGGTGCGCGGGGGGAAAAAAAAAGCCACAATTTTTGCAAGAATATTTTTGTATTCCCGCGCGCTCCGCAACCCCGGTCAGAAAATCTAGGCGGAGTGGTTAGTACGTCAAAATCAGTTCTCGTGATGTCGAAGCAGTCGGAAGACGAATGTCAATTCAAATTTAGATTTCAGATGGTTTTATGAGGACCCGGCGTGTTATGCTACACCGGTGCACCCGCCAATATGTCCATTTTCCAAATTAGATTGAAAGTGACTAATGGGGGGGGGGGGGGGGACACGTGATTAACTCTCGAAAATATGAACCAACTGTATTATACAGTTATGTTAACCATGAGGGATTTGCCCGATTAAACGCCAGCAAAATCAAAGGGTTGTCCATATGTTGAGGCGCAATCTAACGCAACAAGAGAACTCTGGTGTCAACGTGTTTTAACTTGACTACTACTTTTTCTACTTGCAAATCTGATAGTTGCACAGACAACAGTGCATTGGATCTATGAGCACGAATGGCTTTCTCATAACGTGTCTGTACATGGTGGTAAATCTTCATAACAAGGTGAGAAGCCTTTGAGAATAATATTACCTTTGTTTCAAGCGAGGCCTCTATAGCACAGACAATAAATACAGTTATACAGAACAGCACCATATAAATGGTATGAAGAGACACGTCATTGCTATGAGTGAGAACCTCAGTTTAAATATAACACCAATAAACGAGTCATTTTGCAGTCTATATAAACGTGTAAGACAATGTCCTGCTTGTAAAAGCACCAGCTCCTGTGGAGATTATGTCGAACGGTGAGTCACATGGTTTTATTGGAACCAGGTTGACCTTCAGAAGGTTACAGGTCAATGGAAATGTTTGGCCTAAGGACTTTTACAAATATAAATGCTCGTATGAATTGCAAGAAAATTAAATTAAATGTTCACGTTAGTGTTTTTTTTTTATATTGGCAAATACTGTACATTGATGTAAAAAAATAAGCATTTGTGCATAATTATAACAGGCAAGAGGGCAATAATGAATCTTAGATGACAGACATGAGAGACAAATAAAACACGAGGAAACACTTTTTACCAATCAACGCTCCGCCAATTCAAGCAAGCCACAATTTAATCCCGCTCGCTTTTCGCCGACCAACATGAAGCACCGAAGAAGTTTTTTTTATTTTTTACCAATACAGGTTGTAATCGTTTCTGTTTCCTCATTAAAAGAGAATATTCACCAGCATTCCAAATTTTGCCTACCCCCCCCCCCCATCCTGAACTGTAGGTCAGAGTTCAGTGAGCTGGGACAAAGACCGTGTGTGTGATCTGCCAGGGACATATGGAGGGATTTTCACATCGCTGGATGGTGCACGAGGAGAGGTGAGTCTCTGGCGTCAACAACACATTCCTCTCCGTCGCGTCATCGAAGGTGACATTCACGTCAGCGCTAATCCCTTGCGGGAGGTGCCCTGATAAATGCTTATTGTTAATAACTGCGGTTTGCACGGGCTTCGTCTGCCCGCGGGACAACGGCGTGGCAACAAGGCTGGGGGACGAATGATGGGTGGGAGGCGGTAGCTAATTCTCATTGTAAAGGAAGCCTCCATCAGTGAGTCACGTGCACTTATTGTGCACCGATTCTTCATTTGCATACAATTACTTTTGTGGTGGTTGCATCTGGTATGCTTTGTTGTCAGCATCAGGTTTAGTCTCTTTTTGCGGAGAATGTTTTTGCAGGCGCGATTTTTTTTTTGTACAGCGGTGCAACTGCACTGAGGCCCGCAGGCCACGGGGGCTTAAGGGCCAGGCTATGAAGAGGGGACATTGGACAGGGCTCCCTATTTCATGGAGTTGGACAAATCATACCACGTGGGATCGCTGAGCTTCAGGCAATTGTTGGCACCAATTTCGCTTGCTTTTCCCATGCTCCTATACAAAACCTGTGCACGGTACACATTCTAAATTGTTTTGAGATTGCAATATGCATGAATGATGCAATGTGAAAATAACACATATACTTTATTATTTTATGACGTGCACCATATCCCGTGCCAACGATGCTACGATACTGCTCTGAGCCACCTCAAGCGGTAAACTGAGATTTGGATTGTGCGACCACATTCCCCGGTGTCTGCATTGCGTGCGCAGTCCTGCTGCAGCGCGGGACGTCGACCCAGCGGCCTCTCCCTGGACTCCAGCCGGCCCAGCGATGGTAGCATCAGCGAGGACGAACCGCTGAGCAGCACCGGGCGCCGCAGACCCCGGCGTCCCGACCTCTGGGCGGAATCTCAGAATCCGGGACCCTTGGCGCTCCTTCCTCACGGGGCCGAGCGCGGGGGCCGGGACGCGGACGCGGTCGTCGCGGTCGCGGACGGAGTCAAGGAGGCCGCGGTGGAGCCGGGCCTGGCGACGGCGCGCCGTCTCTCCGAGGAGGGACCCTCGGCTGCCGAGATGGGCATCACGCACTCTTTCGACCCGGGGGGCCGGGCACAGCCTGGGGCCCGGCGGCCGTTGGCCCGCAAGAGTGGCCAGGCGGAGCCGTCCCCGGCGCCGCAGGCCAACTGTGCGCTCAGGCGGCTGAAGAGATTTCAACTGAGCCAGCTCACCTGCAAACTGAGGTGACTCGCCCAAATGGGGGGGCATGCGGGGGTGCACTCGTTGATGTATTCGTGTGTACACTCAGAATACGTGCGGTCGAGCCGTGCGTGCAAGAGTGTTGATGATTTGCTGCAAGCCGTGTGCAAATAATATTACGTTTTGACTTGATTGGGTTTATAAAAATGTAAAAATTCTACGAAAATTTGGGAAAGAATACTGATGAAATGACTTCGCATCATGACGCTTGATAGAATTTCCGCTATGTTTGATACAACCCCACGTTCATTTTCTCTGCAGGAGGTGACGAATCCCAGAAGCTGCGAGCGAACATTCAAGGACCACCAGACACACAAAGGCAAAGCTTCCATGTATAGCCGTATCGACTGATGGAAGTGTCGTTCACGAGTACCTATGCAGACGGCACAAGGCACGAGGGGGTGATGTGGCCAGAACCGAGCCCGGCCGTATGTGGCCGACCACTTCCCAAGTTAACACACTGTACTACGTACTCATTTGAGGCTGAGTCGAGATTGGGGAGGCCCAGGATCCATTATTATATCACTCGCCATGTTAGCTGTGACAAGGTATTGAACCATGGTGGTTGAACTTGAAATGCAGTGCGCCAACTACTCTGCCACCTTCAAGCAGGATATCACAGACAGAATTCAAAAAGAACGAATAAAACACAATAGTGAGACCTCAATGTTCTATGCAAACCCAGGAAACTTCCTAAAGACCAGATGTGTTCATTGTACAACTCAAGCGTGGGGCTGTCAAGCGCGAGACAGTTTTGCACGAGGAAGTGAGTTTGTTGCTCTCGTTTGCGAGCCACCGTTGTCGTGGGCCACAGCAAACGAGAACGGAGTGCTGGGGAGAGAAAAGATCTCATAAAATGTAACCACTCAAAGTGGGTTCGCCCAGAAGGGCCTTGATGCGGACACCAGTATCCAGATGGTGACGAACTCACAAAAAACCCACGGTGTGTTTCTACGGGAATGTAGTTTATATGACTCATTAAAAACTAAAAAGATATATTAGTATTTTGCCAGGTGAGGCCCACTGAGGTATACAGCTCTTTTTCAGAAACGACCTGGCTACAAACGATAGCTCAGCGAAGTGGCTTATCACGTGGGCATTTATATCAGCAGCCACATACAGTACTTTAAATGCATGTTGATTCTAAACGTGGAGGGAAAAACCGGAAGACGCACAGAAAAATCCATGCGACCATAGGGAGAACATACAAACTCCAAATATACAGGCGCTGGGGTCGGGATCGAACCCACATTCATCCTGCATACCAGGCGAGGTAGTTAACGTCTCGCCACTGTGGCTGATAGTATGTCTCTCCTTACACACATGCACTCCCACCACTTCCCCATAACCCACCCACCAGCCCACATTCACAGCTGGTGCCTACTCACGATTTGATCGGAGGAGAAGGAGAAGTGTGAGCGAGGAAAATGTTTGATCTAAAGTCATCGTGCCACTATTGATTAATTTCAAGATGTGTATCTGTCAATCCACTTATAACGCAAGAAACAAATATTGCCCAAAGATGAATTCAACAAAATCTGCAAACAAGGAAATCCCTGTTTCTAATGGTGCGAGCAGAGCTGGAGAGAAAGTAAAAACATTTAAAAGAGAAGGCTAACAGCTCGCCAGCCACCTCCTCACTGCCATCTGCGAGTCGCACAACAATAGATTTTGAGTGAATACCAATTAGCGCACAGCAGTGCTTGTTTGCACAAAGTTAAATGAGAGAGTAGGGATTGCAAGCCACTCATTCATTCATTGCCACGTACGGATGACAACTGCAGACACAGCAGTGGTTTTAAGATGGCCCTCGACGTGCCAACGAAACTCTCCACGGTGCGGGGCTGTGTTGTATGATTCCTATAACATGGGAGGTTTTTTGCAGAATCATAAAAAAAGCGAAGTACGGAAAAATGTAGCATAATTTTTTTATTGTTAACATTCAGTATCTTCAGTCCTGTTAAACAAACCGTTACACGTGGTTGACAACCACTCTCTTAGTTCAGATGCTTAAGGTTAAACATAGCGGCTGTGTTGAGCGTTGTTTAACACGTAGGCTTTCGCGACCAATATCATCCATAATACAGGTGGTTTTTTTTGGGTTACATCGCGTAAATATATAAATGTGTCGTTAAATCCGCCACCACCCGACACAGCCAATTAGTAAAATTTGTCACGTAAACAGAACATGCCAATTCGTTACCAGTACAGCACAACCGGTGTGTTGGAGAGTAAATCCACAACATTTACAATCTGAGTACGACGTTTCGCCAGTAATTACAACCAACATCATTAGGCGACAACCGCATTCATATTTACGAGATCTCATCCAAAAAACCCATGTTGAGCTTTGTTAATAAAAAATTATTCTGCACAACTGACATGTTACAGAGTCTGAGTTTTTCTGCTGAGTCTCAATACAATAATAACAAACGTGTTTTTAAATAATTGGTACAAAAACATAGTTTTAAAATATACTAAGAACATTCTTATTACTAAGAACATATTCTTATAATTAGAACACCACAAAATGCTGAGGGTGTAATTAAAGACATGCTTAACAAAGTGTCAAGTCCGTTTTTCACAACTCTAAATGGTACATAATGTAGGTGTAATAATGCGCTGATTCATGAATATATTAAATTCTTAAGCTTACAATGCATTTGTCGAATCACGTAAGAATGCGGGGTTTTTTTCGATTCAGAAAGGTGTATAATGGGTTCGTATGATCCCCTGCAGCTGCTCGTGGCTCTGACATTCATTACATTGTAATAGAGGTAAGGTGTGAACCGTTACACCTCTGGAATTTGATGCATTGCCATTGTGGGTAACAACTAGGCTGACACAGGGGGCAATTTAATACACATGGGACAATTGACTATTATAGTACCAAGAAAATGTGAAGATTAAAATAAAAATGTGTTTCGCGCCGGTTAACAATTTGTTTTTAAAACAGCTTTCGAGTCGAGGTATGTAATTTGAACATGGATGATACATTTTTTTTTTAAAACCCAGCTTTTCCAAAATGCCGTGGTCATGTTAAATTTCATGCAGCAATATACGCAGAAACCATTGTCATTCATCTCGGAAAAAAAATTGCTTTACAATATGCAGTGAATTACAATTCAATTATATATCAATTATGTAAAAAGGCGTCTTTTAAAAAAAAGTTGATATAGTTAATAAAATCCAGGTGGTCACGCACCAAGACAACATTTAGCGAGGAAGGCATTGGACGTGAACAGTGGCTGTGAGGTGGCCATGAGATTTCAGAGCCAACGCCTCGTATACGTGATGGGTTTTCTCTCGGTGCTCTGGTTTCCACACGAAGCCAAACGCTCATGCATTGAATTGGCTAAAAATCCCAATGCAGGACTCCCAGAAAATGTGCTTCGAGTCTCAAGCTTTCCTGGGTAAATAATTGGCAATGATAAAGAATATTTCTGCAGTGCCTTTTATAAAAAAAATGCAGTTCACTTCATGGAATACACACACATTGGACATATATGAGAACATACATTATTTGCATGTGTTTACAAATACATGTACTATATCAAATACAGTGAGCACAAGCAGTTTGGTTGCACACGTGTTCTCATATGAGCATAGCCAGTAGCTAAGAGCATACTCCTGATTCGTGCTGAGCTGCCACCAGACTTTGTGAGGTATCTATGTTGAACTTGCTTCGCACCGTACGCAGCCAACCGTGCTAATCGGAGGCGCTGGGGAAGGACAACAAACTAAACACAAAAAGCAGTTCTAAAGAAATGAGTTTTAAAATCTAGATGATTTAAAAGTGCATAGCTCCAGTTGCTTCCTAATATCGGAAGAGCGTTCCAGACGGTCGCAAAAGCCTATCTGAGAGCGCGCGAGATAAAGTAACCATCTTTGTTCGATGGCAAAGCCAGAATCTGCCGCGAGGACGACCGGAGATCGGTGGTGATGGTTTTATGCTCCTTGACGAGATCAGCAAGGTATCGTGCTTCATTTGTGGCAATACCGTTGTGTGTAACGAGTGCGACCTTGTAAATTCATTCGGCAACCGGAAGCCAATGCAGCTCGGCGAGCACTGGACGGGCACGGTCGGATCTTGCAGTAGCCGTCACGGCTCGTGCCAAAGAATGTTGTACACACCTGCAGCTTGGTGATGGCTTCTGCCAGACGTTCCGTAGAGAAGTGAGTTGCAATGATCGAGCCGCGTCGATACTATGCAACACGCCGCCGTGTTTGGCTACGTCACGCCTCGAAAGTGGTCGAATGTGTCGTACAGCCCTGATGTGAAAATGGCAGAACGTGAATGTGCGAACTGCAGGCCCTGTGATAACGGCAAGCAATTGTGACCTGGTCATGTCAGTGACAATGACTCGCCCTACCGACTGATCACACGAGTACTAGTCTGCCATCAATTGCTCGCCACTGTCACAGGACACGTGGACACTGGGGTGTGTATATGGCAAGTGGGTTTTTGCGCATGCGGTGAGAATACCGATACATTCATAAGCAGATGTTTCTGCAAACACATTGACATCTTTCTGGCAACAATGTCACCGTAAAAAAAAAAGAATAATCATCACGTAACCCGCGGACACATGTGTTCATTGATGGGTTTTCTTGAGCCGCTTATTCGGTTGTGTGGCGTGGCTAAAATGGTCCCCGGGTGCAAGGGATGAAATTGTCCCCTCGGTTAGATTTGCCCCCCCCCCCTAAATCTGTGCCCCGTCGTCCGGGCCCCCCTCCAGCCTGCGCCATCGCACCACCGCCTGCACGCTCGACGAGCTCTCCCATCGTTCACTGGTGCCGAATTCCCCCCTCGGCGGTGTCCTCCCAACGTGACTTGTGTCAGCTGGGCCAGCTCCTCTTGAAAACCACCACGAGGGGGCACACGCGGCACAGACCGACCTCCGACGACACCACCATCCGCCCCTCGCTCAGCTCTTCTTCTTCTTATTGTCCTTCCCCCGCACCTCCAATTGGCACGGTTGGCTACGCACGGCACCGAAGCCCTGACATGAGAACGGAATCTGCAAAATAGTTCTGGCATATGACACAAGTGCAGTAGACGCTGGATTTAAGCACACCTCATTAAAGCACATCTCTGACATGAGCAACACGTGTTTACATTGCACCGGTGGGGGAGTTTCAAAGGGCAACTTCTTGTGCAAGCACACTTCTTCAGATACAAACGCACTTGGCCTCGCTCCCAATAAGTGCGCTTACGTGCAGACTCTTGCTGTGTATCACTTGTCTAGAGCGGACATTGGTGATCGCTTTGCTTTCTTTTCGCTAGTCCCTTCACGTGGCGTGCGTTTGGGCAGCTCCAGTGCCGGGATTAAGCTAGTGCGTGGCCTGCAACATTTACGACTATAATGAGCCTATACAGCCAGATAATACGACAAATCGCTAACCTTAAACGCCCAGTCGCTCATCAAAGTTGAAGGCAGTATGTAGTACTATAGTAATAGAGCAAGTGCAGAATCACTGAACCGGAATTGATAGCTTGAACGCATATGAGCGCGGGGCCCTTGAAAGTGCGGGGCCCGTATCCACAAATGTAGCCACTTTTGCTGCAAGGATAATCCGGCACTGGGGAGTTCACCACTGGTGCGGTATTACGGAAGCTCAGAGTGG